TACTAGGATAATGGCACATTAAAAAAATAAAGCAAATCATATGGAGGTCAGATAGAAAAAGTAAAAAGTAGCCAGAAAGGGGACAAGGAAAATCGTATACTTTTCTAAAAAATGAAACTTGTACCTAGTATATTTTTTCCCTTTCTGGTAGAACATAATAAGCCCAGGCACTTCTTTTTCATCTACAGATGAATTTGGCCATTCCCTTTTTACTTACAAATGAACCTCTTTCACCTGTGAATGGGCCAACTTTTTCACCTGTAAATTTGGCTTTCCCATGTTAAAGGACTATTATTTTGTTATAGGTGAGCCATCCTCTCCCACTCACTAGAGAAAAATATAGATTTTCAAATTCCATAGATTTCTACCACCAAAAACACACAAAGTTTCCCAGTTGCCAAGGATAATGCATCTTATTTCTCTGAGTGTAAACTAACACTTTAATCTTGAGTACTTCCTAAAATGTCTGCCTAATACACCCTTCTTGTGCCTTTTATTGATGCATCCTGAACATTTTTTTTTTTTTTTTTTGCAGTGGAGTCAGCAAACCTGAACTTACTCCACAAAAGACTGGATTAGGTTTCTTATTTTAGCACTGGTATCCTCAAAGACCCCTCCCAGTAACAGTATATCAAAAGAAAGTATAGTATGGCTGCATGATGTTTACTCAGACACAAGTTAATGCACAAGACAGAACTATTTCTTCTCACAGACTTAGTCTTCTCACAGACTTAAATTCTTAGGTGGATGTTTATTAGATAAGGTCTAATATACAGAAATTTTTAATTGCTTCCTCTACTGTCATAAAGCATAGGGAATGTCTCTTATCAACTCAACTTCTGTTGAGTAGAAAAAACAAATAGAAGTTGACAGTCTTTATAAACTATTTTTACTCAAGAAAACGGTCCTGAGAGCATTATTCAGGAACATACCGGTCCTGAAACGGGTATAGTCATGGTAGCTATTGCCCTTACCTGCCACTCAGTAAAAGCTGGACTTGTATCCACCCAAGTCAGGAACTTAAAGGCTACAAACCATTACTCTTTTAACCAGTGTTTGGCAGTGGCAAAATGCTGTCTCTGTGAGATAGAAGAGATGAGAGATAGGTAAAAAGAGACAAAAAAATCACAACTAAAAATTGTACTTTTAAGGTAATCTGTACACCTAATTTGAAGACAACAATATACAATGTATCAATCATTGGTGAATTCTTACCATCTTGTTTAGTAAAGCTCTGTATCATTTCTAACATTTTTTAAAGTTATTTTTTACTCTCTTTAATGGTTTGACCAATTTTGCATTCTTACATCTGGTAATCTAAGCAACTTCCTTGAAGATAACAATGTGTAATATAATAACCACTGTTAAGTCCTAGCATGCTGTTTTGACTGTTAAGTCCTATCATGCTGTTTCAAAATCCTGTATTATTTTTGTTTTTGCTTTGTTTCATTTTTGTCTATGTTGTTGTTATTTTGTTATTGTTTTTTTATTCTCTTTAAAAATAAAAAAAAAGATTGCCATTTCCAGAACTCAGATGAAGTGACTCAAGATGACCCATCACTAAAGGTCAGAAACTAGCTCAATTAAGAAGCAAGCGCCTGGAGGTGAAAGAGCTCAATGTCAATAGTCCTTTGCCTACATTTACACTCCTTCCCTATCAGAGCATCACTAAAATGCCATAAATTGGCCCAATTGAGAAAGTAAGGAGCAGGTTGAGAGAATCCAGAAAATGTTTAAAATTCTTGTTAAAATAACAAACAAACAACTGCCCATGACTTGGAATGGGCTGGTTCCTTACTAAGCAAGGGGGAGTGGGCTACTTTTTCCCAGGGTTTTCACCTGTTATCAGGTGGTTCCTTCCAAAAGTGGCTTGCTATGTAGACATTATCAGGTTCTGGTTTGCTTACCTCTCCTTCTGCAGTTAGAGTCCAGGTTATTCTTGCCCCGAACAAAAAAATTGCACAGAATGAGCAAACAGCAGTGGTCAGGTTTATTCAGAAAAGTAAAAGTGAAGAGTGAGGGAGAAACTGGCTCTGCAGCGTGAGCTTCGGGTGAGCAAATGGAGAAAAAGCAATGAAAGAGTACCCTGGAGAAAGCAAGGTGGGGTAAAATGAGGAAAGTCATGATAGCAAGTTCTTTTCTGTGTCTGTCTTTTATAGTGCCCAAATCTTGAGGAAATCTGCAAGAGTGTCTACATTCAGGTCCCCATGCTATAGGGGAAAGAAACTCTCAAGTTGAAACATATCTGGGACAAGTTCTCATTCTCTGAAATTGAAGAATGAATTTTAAGAACAGCAGAGGCTAAGAGCAGGATATATTTATTGGGGGAAAGAAAACATCTGTCCAAGAGAGGGACAGAAGGGGGTCCAGGTTGGTTGCCTAGGACCCTACATTTCCTAGGGATTTTATAGAGCAAGACCACGAGGTGAGGTGGGTCCAAGGTGGGGGAAAAATGGGAAATTGTAAGGTGGGCATGAGGTGGGACAAAACTATGGTCAGCTAACATGATTACAAGTATAATTGTTCAGGTAACATTGATTAAATTAGGATCAAATGAGGAAGTGAGTCACGCAGCAAGCAGGCATAGATACAGAACAGGAGCTTTTTCTGTAGGGGGTTGGGTTAGTGACTCTTCCTGGTTTTTTCAAGGTGATTGATACCTATTTAGAATATCAATCCCTGATGTCCAACCCCAAGAGAAGTATGTGGGTGCATTTGTTTCATCTTTTGTCTTGAGGTCTGGCCCACAGTGGGAGTGCCTGTTTCTCCTACAGTTGCAAGGTATCTTGTCTTTTATAGTGGCTTTTTCAAGGGCCCAGCACTGTCTGTCTGCCTGTAATATTTCTATCCAACTCAACTACCTATAACACCCAGAGGCGGTGCTGGGATCCCACACTTCAGGTCTGCCCATCCTATTGAAAACCTGCGTGGAGTTCTTGCAAGAAGTGCAAGGCATTGGGAACTGTTCTAGTATGTATTCAGGGATCTTTGTATGTGTATGTGTTGTGGCTGATAAAGACCCTGCTCTATTTGTGGACATTTCAGTGTGATATGGCTAATGTGACTCCATTTTGATTCTGAACTCCATTTTAGAAGTCACTTAAACTCTAGATGAACTCACTCTTCACCTCTCCCTTCTAGTTAACCATAAAACCCATAAAGGAAAGACAAGTTGTTAACTGAAGGAACAAACAGGACAAACTGTGGGGTAAGCTAAACAGCATCCTATTTGACTAACAAATCCTTGGGAAATGTAAACCTTGTGCCATTCCTGTAAAAATTCCAAAGTAGAGTAATGTAGCTACCATGGTTACTTGTAAATGTACAAAAACTCAGTACAAATTTCCCTGAGGTTCAGCACTTCTGACTGGCTACAATTCAGTGTAATCAACCAGCAAATAAACCTCACTTGTATCTATTCCAGGCCTCTGTGAGTGTTTCTTGTGATCTGCCCTAACAAGTATACTACGCTTTTTTCTCTATAGTACCCTCTCATGTACCTGAATCTCCAAGATGTTTTGTGTAGAGGAGGAATGATAGCCCACCCTCACCATCTTCCACAGTGCTTGAATAGGTCTGATTTCATTCCCATCAACTCTCTTTTTTTTTGAGACAGGGTTATTCTATGTAGTTCATACTTGAACTCACTATGTAGCCCAGTCTGACCTCAAACTCATTGTAATCCTTCTGCCTCAGCCTTCTGAGTGTTGGGATTACAGGTGTGTACTATGATGGCTAGTTAAGGATTCATTAAATATATGCTCTTTATTTTCCTTTGTTTCATTGAATACTATAAATCATTAATATTTTTCATGTTGTTAACCCCATCAAAACATTTTTGAGTGCTGCCTTATAGTTAATCATGTGGATATACCACTTAAAAAATGAAAAGTTTTGGATTTTAATGATGGTGTATCTTTATTATGTCTGATTTCAAAACTGATTACTTTACTTTTCATTTGGCTAGTTGGTTAAATTATTTATTTATTTGCAATGCTAGAAATTGAACCCAGGGTCTTGAGCACGTTAGATAAGCACTCAGCCACTGAGTTATATCCTCCACCCTTTATTCTTTTGTTAAGTGAAAATACAGAAGTGTACCAAGATATAAAATATGAAACAAATATCTTTGTATTCACAACTCAGAATTAACCGATGCTAATGTTTTTTCATTTATTCTCCAAAAATTTTAAAAATTATAGCAAGGATATTCAGATACAGTTGAATTCTATTTTATTGTCTTATTCTGTCATCCCATTTGAAATCTGATATAGAGTTAATCTGTCTTTTTATCTTTTTTTAGGTACGTATTTTAAAATTTACATAAATGGTACCATACTTGCACATGGTTCTGTGCAAGTGTGTTTCCCAGCTCTACTTTTTTTGTGTGTTTCCCAGCACTACTTTTGATCTACTAATATATATAGATTCTCTCATTCAATCTGTCATAGTATTACAGACTATACACCCTTTATTTGTCCATCTTTCAATGGTTAATGAAGTGTGGTAGAGTTCTTGCCTTGGTTAATGAAGTGTTTGAAAAAAATTTTTTTTTTGTTACGCACAATTGACTGTAGTTCTCCTTGTACATAAATGAAAAGATAATGTTACAGAGTCCAGAACTGAACCAAAAGGAAGACACAGTTCTTTAAATTTTTTATTACATTCTCCCCTGCTTTCTTTTTTATAGGGAAGATTCTTCTTCCTCAGTTTTGAGAAGTTGATAGGAGCGGGTGGTCTTTAGGAGGAGCTGGCAATGTATGGTCTCAAATCATTCAGACAGAAATTGGGTCAGAATGTGGATCACGCAGGGGCCCAGAAAGAGGACCACCAAGAGCGCCGTTAATGGCCTAAGAAGGGCTCCTGCCCATGAGGGAAGAAAGTTCAGATACCTCCACCAAGAGGAGATACCCAGACTATCTACGCCCCTTTGTTTGAGGGTTTTTGTTACTGCCAGGAGGGTTTGTGTGTGTGTGTGTGTGTGTGTGTGTGTGTGTTACAATTTCTGACTTATTAGCATAACAACATTCCTGTTTCACAAAAAGGCAGGTGACCCCTTGTTGGGCTCTCAGGGGGTCTGAGGCCTGACAGTTTTGTAAGACAGCCATGGCCAAAGAATCAGTCTGTTCCTGGAGAGTGTCAATAGAGTTTTAGACATTTAAAAAGTCTCCTATTATTTGGCTACTCAGTTGTGTATATTCTCTCTGTCCTAGTCCAAGGGCTCTTTTGCCCATAGCTAGGCCTCCTGCTATCACTATTCTAGCCAGCATGGGCAGAAATATATGGTCTCATTTCTTTTTTTCCTGCTGATTATATGTATGTATGTATTTATTTATTTTGTGATGCTGGGGATTGAAACAGGTCCTTGTGCATGCAAGGCAAGAACTCTACCTGTCTTGTGTTGGATGTCTTCCCATTTAAAGATGAAAAGGAACTGGTTGGCAGGGGCCACTCACAGGCGGAAGAAAGCATCTTTTAAGTCTAAGCAGGTGAACCAGGCAGTGGTGGATGGAAGCAAGCCTAGGAGGGTATGTGGGTTTGGGACTGTTGGGTGTAAGGTTACTGTAGCTGCACGGACAGTGTGGAGGTCTTGTACTGAGTGAAAATCTCCATTTGGTTTTTTCACTGGCAGCAGAGGATTGTTCTAAAGTTGTAGGGGACAGTGAATCTTAGCATATTATTTTAGACAAAATAGTTTAGTAAAGGCCTAAAATGTGTCTTGGGAACCCTCCTGGGATATTGTAAGAGCTAATCCCTTAGTCAAACGTTGCCTGGGAATGTCTCCCAGAGATAAGGGGCATTCAGGCCTAGATAACCCTCTATGACCCTACCTTGGTAGTTTCATCCCTTTCCCTGGCCCTAGATAAACATTGTAACCCTAAAGGAATGTATAGGCTGTAAAAGGGAAACAAACAGAACATGATGGGAGAAACATCTATCATGGTTAGACAGGCGACCAGCAACTGACCCAGGGTCCCACAGGATGAGAGAAAAACCATACGGCCACCTGGGTCAGCAAATGTAACATCCCAACTTGTAACCATGGAAACCCAAAACTTATTTAAGACCTGAATCAGAACTAGCAGACGCCGATGTATTCCCGACTTGTCGAGTGGTGGCTAGCCTCAAATTAATACACTCTGTTTGTCTTAAGGAGTCCTTCAGTCTTCTGTGGAATACAGCCCAATTTTTGCCATTACAAAGTGACTGACAATCTATTAGACCTCAGTTTGTCTCAGTCTGGAGATGTGGGGCAGGATTCCAAGGTGAGCCTCTTGTGACAGTGGGTATTGTTGGACAGCAATGGGAGAGGTGCTTGGTTTGAGTTTAACTGCCAGTGGAGCATCATTGACAGCCAGCCCTGGCAGTGAGTCCTCTGCCTGTATATCTGGAAACATAGTTCTCAAGACCTCAGGGCATTTCTGATTGATATAGCCACCATTCTTCTTCTTGGGGCATGGTCCAAGTCATTATCAAGTTTGGAGTCATGGGTCCAAGGGTAAGGGTGGTTGACTGCTTAGAAACAAAGAAAATAGTTGCCCCCAGTTTCAAGATGAGAACCCATCCCAGGAGTGAAATAGGGCACTCAGGAATGTATAGAAATTGATGTTTGATGAAGTGTTCACCAATTTCATAGAATCTACTTTGACAGAATTTCTTTTCAGTGGGCCTGCCAGTAGCCCTTATCATTTGAATTTGCTGGGAAGTCAAGGGGGCAATAGGTTGAGTGATGACAGAATGTTTGGCCCTGCTGTCCAGCATAAAAATCTTTGGGTTTCCCCTCCTCCGAATTTAAGCAACAACTGTGGGCTCCTAGGGCCCGAATCTGAAGGATCCCAGTCTTTCCTATTTATTATTGAAAAGTGCGAGTAGGGATTCAGGCTGCAGCAAGTTAGGTTTCACAAAGGCCTTTTGATCTTTCAGGTGAAGAGGGCATTTGTCTTTCCAGTGTCCTAGTTGCTTATGTTGGACACATTAATTTGGAGCCAAGGCATAGGGTTGGCCACTTATTTCAAATTGAGGATCTTGGGAGGTCTTGTTATCTTGGCCTTGTAGCAGGGTTGATTCATCTAGAGTTTGGGAATGGTTTCCCCATGATCACAGCCAAAAGGGGGAGTCTGGTGTCATTTATGTTCTTTCTTTTTTATTCTTTCTCAGTTTATAAAAAACTTTTGGGCTATCTGAAGCAGCTGGGTGGTATTCATCTGGGCAAACCTATCAACCTTTTGAATCTTTCTACTAATGTCAGAGGCACACTGTATCATGAAAGCTGAATTTACCATCTGCTGATTTTCTGGGCCATCAGGATCAAATGGGGAATAAGTTTTGTATGCTTCACATAGTCTGTCATAAAATTTAGCAGGGCCTTCCTTAGGTTCTTGGATAACTTCACCAATCTTGGACATGTTGACAGGTTTCTTTCTTCTCTCCTTTATTCCTGCCAGAAGAGCCTCACAATATTGTCTTAAAGTGTCATGTCCTTGTAAAGTATTGAAATTCAAACATGGTCTGGTGTGAGGGAAGATGGTGTTTACCCAGGCTTTGGGGTCAAGTATGGTGGCTGAAACTCTAGCCCTTAGCCAGGTTTGTCCTCCCTCAAAGATACAGGCATGCTTTTCATTACAGAGTCAGGAGGATTTGCTGGCAATTGTCCTAGGTGGGTTGTGTTTGAAAGATCGAAGTCAGAAGATGGATCATGGCTTTGGACTTTTCTAATTAGGAAGGACTGTGAGAAATCAATGGAACTGAAAGGCTGGTAGTATATAACAGGCTGCTGATCTGGTGCCCCTTGTCTGCCAGGATATCTCTGGAGGGGCATCTAGAGTTGTGCCAAGTGAAGTTGGTGGCTGATGAGGCTTGACTTTGGTGGCTCTTGGGGACTAGGCAGTGCCAGGGGTGGTGCAGTTGGTGGAGATGGAGCAATAGGGTCTGGGAGAATGGCCAGTGGTGGACGTGAAGCTGCCTCTGGAGGTAGCAACAGTGACAACTCTGGCATGTTTTGGTAGTCATCCACATATACGGGAGGAAATTCCTCATCCAGGTCATCAGGCAAGATGGAATAAATTTTCTTAGTCTTTTGGGTCACTTTTCTATGTGACCTACAATGAGATTGATTGGCTTTGACTACTAGGAAGGTTCCTTTCCTTTGACAAGCACAGGCAGGAAACCAAGGTGGAAGACTTTGACACAGTCCAAGCCAAGAATCAATATGTGGGAACTGATCAGGATGAATGCTTGGGTGGGAGTCTTACTTTGTCCCAAACTTGATAAAGAACTTCCACATTTAGAGTTCCCTCTGGTGGTCAAGCAGGACATGGGTGCAGCCAACTGACCTCACAGAAAGTACAGAGCCATTGGGGTTTTATTTTTATTCTGTAGTACTCCAAAAATCCTTTCTTGAAATTTTGCAACGTACATTCAAGGGGAGTAATTTTAGCTTGGCTTGCACCCATGTTAACTCCCTATAGTGTGTGTTGTGAGCCCTGAGTGGTGTCACAACAAACAAGGGTGGGTGTCCCTCATGAATGAGAGACTACTCAGGCACCCACCTGGTTGCTTGTCTCTTGCCAATATTGGGAACATCCAGACTAAGGAAAAGTGTTGGTAGGTTCTCCATTGAGGAGATATTGTTGGTGTGACCAGTCAGATGTGTTCATGGAACTGCAGGTGAGGGCCCAATTAAGCTCCATACCTCTGAGCCCCCATGGTGGCACTGTTGCTGTGGAGCACAGATGGAACAACCTATTGCTTATGTCATCTATCCACATTCAGTCCACACATTCATAAACAGGCTCACAGAAGTTAATACATTCCAGCCCCTAATCCTGAAGGGAAAGCCTAATTGAAACTGAAACTGACTATCCTAAAGCTCTTTTTTTTTCCTTTCCGGTACTGGGAATCGAACTCACGACCTTGCCCTTGCCAGACAGGCACTGTGCAGCTGACCTAAATCCCCAGCTCCAAAACTGACTATCCTGACCAGCACAGGTGAGGAGTGATCAAGTCTTCCTTCATCCACATACGGACAGAAACTGACAAACTGACTGAGAGACATCCCAGGGATATTTTACCTTGCCTGAGGGCCTGCACTGACTGCTTTCTAGGTCTCAATCTTGGACCCTCGAGGAGACTCCATAAAAACTCCTGGAGGGTGTGCCTTCTTGTTGGGAGATCAAAGGGGATCACCACTGTGACCAGCAGGCCCCAACCAGTGACTGAAGAGGTCAGCACAGTGTCATCCCAGATGAGCCCCCCAAAATGTTGCAGAATCTGGGACCACACCAAGAGGAAGACACAGCACCAAGGCACTTGGAAGGCAACAGCTTTATGACACTGGTGAGCTGGTAGGAATCAGTTTTAAATCACTAGCCCTGACTCAGGGTAAAGCAGAAACTTATGTATGATTTGCAAGCAGAAAGTACAAAGACTGATAGTGGGTTATTCTATAATTGGTTGCATATGTTTAGTCATACATTGCTAGGCAGATTTATCCTGTGTTGGTTTTAGTTAGAGGGGGCATTTATCATATGGTGGGAATGACAGGGGGAGTCAGGGCCATGCAAGCAAGTATAATCAATCAAGCATGTCCTTGAATAAGCTAGTCTGTCCCAAGTAGAGAGACCTTGAAACAGGTAAGCAAACAGGATATGTTTGCGGGCTACATTGCAGCTGGATATGGTCAGGCAGAGATGGGTCAAATTATCTCTGAGTTTCAGCTAGTGTAGTCAGTCAAAGCTAACTGAGTCTGGTGGCCCAACTGTGAAGTTGCTAGTTTCTTAAAATTTTATATTACAATAGTAAATAAAAGTGAACTCGCTGATCATAGAGTATGCTAACTTGAACTGTGAAGAAGGTAAATTTAGGTATATTAAACCTTTAACTATATTATTTGAACAGTGATCTATTTGGTGACTTTAGCATCTTCAGACTGCAGAGGAATTGAAGAGAAAAATTTTATAAGGTGTTCATGGACATGTTATAGTTCTTTTTCTCTCCTGAATACTCATCCTTTGTGGTTTGTCTTTTAGTAATGATTATGTCCTTGGTTTTATATGACAGTTTTAACTTTATTTAATTTTTTGAGGCAAGATCACACTATGTAGCATATGTTGGCCTTGAACTTGCAATCCTCCTGCCTCAACCTCTTGATTACTGGGATTAGAGGCTTATACCACCATAACCAGAGTTTTTGAAAGTTTTAATCTTGCTTTTAATCTTTAGAGTTCTGGCTTGAAAATTTTTCATTGTTAAATTCATTACAGCATAAAAATTTTATTCAAAAAATTTAAATAATTATTTTTACAATGAAATCCATAATCCCTCTGAAGTTTTTCCTCCTTTTGTAAAATAGAAATCTACTTTTTATTTTTCCAATATTGTCATGCAGCTCACTGAACACTGTTCCCTGACTTGTCCATTATTTTCTAGTGATTGGTACTGACATTTATCTAAAACATAAAAGCTGTCTATGTGGTTGGATGCTTTTTGGGGTATTTTAAATATTTATACACTCCTATATTGTTTTGTCTGCATTTATATGGCTCTATAATAAACCTGGGTATCCCTCTTTTATTTTTCAGTAGTAGACTTATTTTTTGTAAATGAATTTCCCAATCTATTGATGGGTTTGACTGGGAAAGGATTTAAATGTCACAAGAATGAGCTCACAAGATTCTTTAGCCCAAGGGAAACCTGTGTCCTGACCTGTTACCCTTGGTCCTGCTCACCAGATAGCAGGTTCTGCAGCCTCCCTGATACCCTCAAATACAAAGTGATCCTGTTGTATCTTGACCAAAGCACTGCCATCCTGTTCTGTATGTGCCACTTCCCTTCACCCTCAAGTCACCTATTGTACCCATAAAATATCCCCTGCTGCAGTTCCCAGGCAATGCAAAACCACAAGAGCCAACTTGTTAACTCAATGTTCTTGTGAAAACATCAGTTCTGAGAACTATGACCACCTGCAAAAACAAGATCTGGGTATTGTATGTTCCATGTTCCCCCTCCCTACCCTTTGTGGTTTTTGCCTTTATAAACCCCTTGCTGTTTCTCCTCGGCGCGCAGCGGTACAAAGTCCATCTGTACTCTGTGCCCCTGGGTACCAGCTTAAATAAAGCACTTCTTTTTGCAAAGAGACGCCTCATCCTTTTTGGGGGTCCTTTTTCCTCAGTAGAGCATTTGGGGGCTCGTCCAGGATCAACATAAGGACCCCCTTCTCCCCCAGACCCTTTTCACCAGACCCTTTTCGCCAGTCGATCAACTTTTGTAAGTATCCTCTCCTTTCTGTTTCATTTTGGTGCGCACGTTTGTTGCAGTGGAGAGACTTAACGCTCCCTCTGCGCAGGAGTGGAACGCCCTCCCGGGGCTTCTCGCCCACTTTGTAATTTGGGACTTTATTCCACCAGGTTTTGGGATTTCATCTCCATTTGGCCTTTGTCTCGTCTTTCTCACCTGATCCTTCCCTCCCAGGTCGTATGCGACTCATCGGATATAAGAGTTGTAGTGACAACTTTTTCCCTGCAGGTCACCCAATCAAGGACAGAAAAAGTCTTCTATGTGTGTTTACAATTTTCTGTGTCTTTTGTGGCACCTTGTCTTGTGTTGCTTTGGTCGATCTGTTTCTATCAAAAACTAACCACCAACAACTAATCATGGGTCAAGGCTTTTCTTCTGTGTCCCTGACACCCTTAAATTTGATCCTTAATCATTTTGCGGATTTCAGGAAAAGGGCCCAAGGATACAGAGATCCTCTATATCCTGGAAAGCTCCAAATATTTTGTTCCCTAGAATGGCCATGCGCCATCCACGAGTGGCCAGATACTGGAAGTTTTGACCTGGCCATTGCAGAGGCAGTCTGAAGATACGTCTTCGGCCCTCCCGTACATCCTGACCAAATTGTCTACATACAGGTTTGGATTGATCTCATCTATGATCCCCCTTCTTGGTTAAAAAAATTTCTTGAGGCTACCAAACAGCAGTCCGATAATCCTCTGCTGCTGGCACCATTGAAAATGAAACCAAAATTGGAGCCAGTCCGATTTTGCCAGCTGACAAAGAGGAGCCTCCCCCACCACCTTATCGTCCCTCTGCTCCCCTGGTACCTAATTCCCCAGAACCCGCACCCTCTGCCGAACCCTCAGCTGAACCCTTCTTCCACTCCCCCCCCAGCCCTATCAGGATCAGAAGTCGGCTGTGACCTGACTTGCCTGACTCTACTGCCACCCTAGCCGTCCTTCTGTTACGAGAGATACCCAACCCCGATGATCCCACTGACCCGGTTTTCACCTATGTTCCCTTCTCCACTTCAGACCTATATAATTGGAGAGGACAAAACCCCTCTTTCTCGAAGGATCCACAAGGGCTCATCTCTCTCCTAGAATCCATTTTTTCTACCCATCGCCCCACT